CTGACCTGGGCCTGACTGTGTCTACAATGTCAACAACCTTAGCTGTCCTCTGGTTTGATGCAAGAGAAATCAGTCTAGATTCCTGCATTATACAGATGTTTTTTCTTCATGGATTTACTGTCACAGAATCTGGAGTGCTGGTGACCATGGCCATTGACCGCTATGTGGCGATCTGTAACCCCCTCAGGTACACTACCATCCTCACCAAGTCCAGAATCACCCATATGGGTCTTTTAATGACTATACGTTCCATAGTATTAATAGGGTTAATGCTCTTACTCCTTCAGCGTCTCTCTTTTTGTAAGATGAATGTTCTTTCCCATTCATATTGCTACCATCCAGATCTGATTAAATTTTCATGCTCTGATACTCGGGCCAACAACATTTGTGGATTAATTGTTCTCATCCTGACCACAGGGCTAGATGCACCATGCATTGTACTGTCTTATATCTTGATCATTCGCTCTGTTCTCAGTATTGCCTCCCCTGAAGAACGACACAAGACCTTTAGCACCTGTGTCTCCCACATTGGGGCAGTTGCTACTTTCTACATCCCCATGATAAGTCTGTCCTTGGTGCATCGTTATGCTCGTTCAGCCCCCAGAGTGGTCCATTCAATGATGGCCAATATATACCTGCTTTTTCCTCCAGTGCTTAACCCCATTATCTATAGTGTAAAGACCAAACAAATTCGCAACACCATACTCAGGCTACTCCATAAGATGTAACCAGAGATGATTAAACTTGTAAAAAATCTAGTAGAAATGAACTTAACTATTGAAAAGCACCTTTGATAGATCATCGGATTTTTTGGTCTTTTTTCCATTTATTCATCAAATACTTGTTAATCATTTTGTAAGCAGTTATAAAATGTAACTATTGTATACTACCAATAATAAAGGGAAATGAATATATTTAAAATGAATGATAATAATTTATTTATAGTAGGTAAGATTTATTGTTTATTTTATACTCTATCCTACCAACAGCCTTAAAGATATATTCCATTTGTCCATTTAAACAGCTCAATGATTTATAGATTATTAATTATATTTTAGACATGAAGAACTGAGGCTTAGAAATATTTAGGCTGGCCCTCCCTAGTGTTGCAATGGGTTACAGCACTATGAAGCTAGGCACAGCCACTTCATTGTGAGTTTGATCTCCAGCCAGGAAGTTGATCCGCATGGCGCAGCAGACCTCTCCTGTCTTGCTTGCTGTTCCCCTC